CAAGTGATTGATATGTACTCCCCTGGGTACTTTAAGAGTAGGCAGGCATGTGGCAGGCAGGGCAAAGATCTGGGACTCAGTCCACTGCCAGTGAGCAGAGCCAGGCAGGACAGAGACTGGTCAGCTACCCCAGGTTCACTCCCTCAGGGACAGGAGAACGGGCAATTTGCTGAGATCAGCCTAGAACATCACTCCCCTGCTTAACTCTTAATGGAATCTCTAGGGAGCGTAAAAGAGGCAGTCTCTGAACAAGATGCTGGTGGCAAAGGGGTGCCATACGGTGAATAGGGGGATGAGGTAGACAGAGGCTACCTAAACTCCAAGATGCACCTCCAGGGCATTGGCAGCCTGACCTTGACCCTCCTGAGACCTAAAGGATGAGGAGTTGGAAGGACAGGGTTTCAGAGAGAGCACCTGCAAAGTGCCCAACAGAAAGTGAGCAAAGTACCCTCTGAGACCTGAAAGATGTCTTTGACTAGAGTGTAGCTGGATGGCAGAGTAGAGTCAGCTGCAAAAGTGGTCTGCGGCCAGGTCTCTAGGGCCTTGTAAACTACCTTAAGGTTTGAATTTTATCAGAAGAGAAAAGGAAAGACAGCAGTTTGTTCTCTTTTTTAATCACATTATACTTATGCATAATTTTTGTCTTGGTAAAACAATTAACCACTGCTAACTTAGTTATCCAAATTGTAACCTCTCTGGAGGCAGACTGAACTACTTCAACCTCCTCAAGGTGGTTCTGAAACTTAAGACTGCATCAGCATCTCGTGGCGGAGGGGTTGTATCACAGATTTTGCAGGGCCTTGATCTCTGAGTTTCTGCCTCAATAAGTCTGGGGTGTAGCTTGAAAACTGTATTCCTTTCAAGTTCCCAAGTATTATGACCACGTTCTGAGAACCTGGGGGGAAAGTAAGAGATTTGAGAGGGAATTAACAAGAAGAGTAAGTGGATGTGTAAAGACATACTCAGGCACTTATGCTCTCAATGGTATACAGAAGTGGCTGGGATGGAGGAGGCTGGAATTACAGAAATCCCAGAAGCAGATTAGAGAAGCAGAGGTAAAAACAGTAGTCAGTAACAAAACTTTATTCTAGCTTCCCCCTCTACCAAAACTCCTCTTCCAAGGTATTTTCCATGCATAGATTAAAAGTGACACAGTATTTTTTTTCAAAATTAACAGTTTAAGAACAATTGAACAAAAATCATACGGACTTTTGAAAGAGCAGTTATATCCCTACTTGCCTCAGTATCTATACCTAAAATAAACCTAGCCACCAAACCTGCCTTCCTCTAAATAGACGCCATCAGTCACCTGGTGACAGCTCTCAGAAGCGAAGACTAAACGCCTCGGAGGAACTGAAAAGCTTCCAGAATATCTGCTTTGCCAACTTTAACCCTTCTTAGTATTAGGAATGTCAAAATCGCCATTGGCTGTTTTCTTTTTTCCCCTTAGGCCTGGCTTTTTAAACCAAAGATACTGCAAATTTTCGAAAGGTATAAAATCAAGGCAGGTTGTGGAGGGCTGCTCGGTGCTAAAGGAGTACTGGCGTTGGGACAGCTGGGTTCCAGCCCCAGCTCAGGCACAGACTACGAGTGTGGCTTTCGGTAAGGCGCTTTTTCTACCCAGTGTAAGCTATGAAAATATGGAGTTGGCAAATGGCATTTTTCTGTTTAAGATCTGAAATTCTGACTTTAAATCTAAAGAAACAAGAAGCATGATTACACTGCCATGCACACAAAGGGATAGAGTCCCCAGGTAGCTAGAGTCCAAACTGAACACTCTTGTGGGACTCTTTCACCTTCCAGGTACGCCAACTACACATCTGGACAACTGGGAAACAAACACGGGTGAAGTACCAAAAGGGCAGCTCCAGGTGAACACTGGGAGGAAGGGGAATTGATGTTTCCCTGCTCCTTCTGAGTGCAGCACGGCCCTCCACGGTGAGCCTGAGCACGGCCGGAGCACCCTGTTCCGGTGAGACACATCAGACACCTCCTGCAGGTCCAGTCTTAGTTTCCTTACGAATAAAACATGACCACAGTAATTTTAAATTCTTCCTAGGAGTAGAATGCCTTTTCAAATGCCAAAACAATCAAGTAAATTGTTTAAACCACTAGTAATTGCTGATATGCTTTCGCTACTATACTTTCATTAGTTATACTGGAGGTTGGTCAAACCTGGCCCACAGCCTATTTCTGTATATAGCCTGTGAGCTACGGATAGTTTCTACATATTTAAAATCAAACTAAGAATATTTTGTGACAAGTGAAAGTCACATGAAATTCAAATTTCAGTGCCTACGAAGTTTTATTGGAATGCAGTCATGCTTATTTGTTTATGTATCATTTATAGCTGCTTTCTTGCTCTGACAGAGTTGAGAGGCTACAAAAGTCTCAAGTTTTTACTATCTGGCTTTTTACAGAAAAAAAATTGCAACCCGTTAGTTACACTACAGCATATATACCCATATCATTCTAATAATAAACATTCCCAAGGGTTAGCTGATTATGAAGGACTGATATGTAAACCATGAATAGGAAAACACTGAAAGAGGAAGAAGTGTTCTTGTGGAATTTGGATTTTGCAATGTATGAATACTGGTAATACCTCCTCAGTGTATGCATGTGACATGCTCCTTTAGACCCAGAATGAAAATCTCTCAATTTCACTCTAGGACTTCTGCAACTGTCTAGCTAAAGGAGAAGATAAGATCTATAGAGCGAAATGCTATCATTAGAAAATACAGCGAGGAACAAGAATGGCACTAAGATGTTAGGAAGTGTTCCCTAATCATGTCAAAATCTCACTTTCTAGTAAGGTGTACATACTTTCTGAATTAAAAACAAAACAAAAACTGGGACAAACAGTCTGACAGGTGTTGAGTGTGCCATGGGAGGCAAGGGAACACAGTTTTTTAATTTGGGACACACTAGAGAGATCTGAGATACAGAACTGTGATCCTCACAGGTCAGAGACTTCCACAGAGCTGAGGGCCAAACATGTTAACAGACATTTGTTCTGACTCATAGAGACTTTTGATAAAGAGTTTAAAAGGACAAGAGTTACTTGAAAGCTTAGAGGTTTTAACAAGTGGGTCAGTGGGACTGTGAATATGTGGATCGAGGTTTCCGGAATGGCCAGGCTATGTGTGGGGCATTCTTACACTGTAAACATTAAACGCATTTAACATCTTGGCATGTGCTATTTCTCAACAAGTTATCTAGTCCCAATTCAGCTTCCTAAAAACACATAAACTACTAAAAATTTATGGATGATGCCAAATAAATACGTCAATGAAAACTAGGTCACATACTCCTTTTAAGATTTGCACATAAAAAGACACTTTTATAGTGACTTTTACTAGTACAGTTCAGACCAAGGGGCATCAAAGCTAAAAAGAGAGCATTCTGACGGCCTGTTAAGGAAGATTTATGCTCTACACAGAGTTTGAGCACTTACCTCTGTTTTCCCCCTGCTATTTATTACCCAGTTGCCTTCCCTCAGGTCAGAAAAGTTCTCATTTCATTCAGGACTGGTTCGTCACTGTATTTCCTCTTTGATGCCTTCCCCTGACAGGTGATACAGTTATGCACAAATAGATACCCACAGCCTCCTCCTACCTCTCCTTTATAGGCTGTTTCAGAATAGTTATGTTCTCCCAAGCTCCTAACATCTGGGCCCACTCCCACTGTAGCATTTATAAGCTCCAACAACATGGGACATTGCTCATTTTTCTGCCAAATGTGAAAAGAGAAAGACGTATGAATGGCAGGAAGCAACAGCCCTTGATGTGTCAAGTAAGGCTTGGTTACACTATGCCGTGCACTGTAAACCTTCAAAGCGATGTTTCTTTAGATGACCGCCTCACTATTCATTAGAACACTATAGCAAGCACCTCTGAATTGCCCATTTGAAAGACAGTTACAACTGATACAAAGTGAAAGATTTCCCTCAACCCCCAAGTTCCTATTTTCCTCAATTTTCCTTAGTACTCTTACAGCTTGCATCTTCTGAGTACATTGGGAAAGCCAGAGGAAGCCCATTATTGTATTTACTCACCTATTTCCCTACATTAACTAGTCCCTAAAGTGGATGTGAAATAAAGATGAATATCCATGAGAGCCTGTAAGTTAAGGGAAGAAACCAGGTAAGAAACCAGTGGGCATTCATTCCCTGTGCAGACCCTCCCCGCCAGGACTGACGGAGAGGAAGGCTGTTGGGCTGACCGAGGGGCATGTGTCAGCAGCACGAGAGCGAGCAGGCAGCTGCCAGTCTGTCTTTCTGTGAATCAGACAAGCAAGCTTCAAATGGGAAAGATTAAGAGGGAAAAACCTAAATAAATAAACACACAACTTCTCACCTCTTGGCAAAGTATTCTGTTTCTCAAGAAAACAATCTATTAGGTATATCCACTTGAAATATTTCAAGTCTGAACAGGGAAGAACTTGGACAGAAAGAATTAACAGCCATTGGAAGCTGGGTAACTGACACATTTATCTGGCCAGTGGGAAACTCTCACAAAATAATGAAAATTTTTGCTTTTCAGATTGTTGCTTAGTGTTCCTTACCCTCAAATTTAGAATGAAAATGGGTGGGAAGGAGGGAGACAAGGAAGTATGCAAATACATTTGGTGCATGTTATTTTACAAGCTTACAGCTAGTAAGGTATGCTGTTACTAGCTGTTCAAGGAGTGTGAACTTACGAGAAAACATCCCTCAGAACAGCAAAGGGGAAAATCCATGGTACAGGAGAAAATACACATGAAAATCATAGCAGAAACCACATTAGCTAGGTATGTGTAGGGGAAAACAGTTGATCTCAGAAGAATAGATTGCTCCACGACTTGGAAATAGACTTCCTCTTACAGGTACAAATCATACTTGTCTTCTTTCTTAAATGAGTATTATCTTTTTGTACAAAAAATAATTTTCAAGGTGAAAAAAAACTAGAGGATTTCACTCACATTTGTACAGAAATATTTATAAGACAAAAAAAACAAGATCACAGTACATAGCAGTTATTTATTTAAATACTTGAAAAGGTCAATGATGGAAAAAATAGGTTTATCATGAGTTTATATTCATTAGATTTATTTCACCATTTAAAAAAGTGCTGCTTCTAGGCTATCCTAGCCAGATATACAACATCTCATGACACATGCAGCTACTGTGATACACTGTAACAGACACAGCCATTATAGAATGATTTACAATTTGGGAGGAAATTCAACAGTAGTTAATGGTGACTGGTTTATTTAAACTAAAAACATTGATAATATACAAATCTTCTTGTTCATTTGATTGAAAGGGCTATAAAATTCAATATACTGACAAAGGAAATGATATAATCACATAGGTAACAGCTCTGCTAATGGCCTTCAGCTTCCTCCTTCCTTAAAGGAGAGTCTCACACTAGCTATACAGTTTTCTAGACTGCACGATGGCTTCAAGGCTGGCCTACCATAAGTGACTGACAGAAGTTGTGTTGGTAAGCTGACACTGATGAGCTCATCTTAAAAAATGGAGAGAAAATGGCAAACTGAGCCTCATGTACGTTAAAGAACCCAAAGAATCATTCTAAGTAAATGTGAAATAAATAGGTGATCCATGAGCAAATACAATCTCTGAGTTGACTTCAACCTAGGAAAGTGGGCCAACCGAGCACTAACAATACCATGTAGAAACGTCTAGAAACATCATTTCTAGGAGTCAGTTTGGGAGACCATATCTTGCCTGAATATGTACATCATTTACAAAATAATCCCTTTTGGCCTCTGAAACTCAGCCATTTTTAGTTTGGCTGTTAAGCTGTTTCTTTCATATGCTAGCCAATACTGCAGTTATAACCTATCATTAAAATACTCTTATGCATGAATTACAAATATTAATAAAGTAACTCTGCATGTATAAATATCTCAGTATTTCTGGCAGAACTTAAAGCATTCATAATGTACATAAAAGTATTAGTTTTTGGTAGGGCCAGTATTTTTTTTTTAATCATCGCTGTTTCAATAGTGCTTTGTACATAGCAAAGCCCAAAACTGCAAAAACTGTAGCACCAAAACTTGCTCGAAGCCAAAACGTGGAGCTCTTGAGGTCAGCCTGTGTCACGTGCCTGTGGTCAGAAAATATAATTAATGTTTAAAACATGATTAATATGAAAATAGCAGTTAGATTAACAGTCTACTTTTAGGGAAGTATTAGCACACTTGTCAGGCTAATTGCATACAATAATGCTTACCAAAGACATTTATGAATATAGCCACATGTACACTGCTTAAATAATCATTATCTTAAGACATAATATAAACAGTAATAAAGACAAATGTCTTTACAGCTAGCTACTATTTGGGAGTAAACAACATCTAAAATTTTATACATTTTCTTCACATGGGAAATGGAGAACTTAGACAAATCAACCTACCATTTTTTAATACCACCATGGTCCTTTAAAATCAGAGGTAAGGCTTAGATCTCACAATTTTGAGAGTCAATTTCATGGAACTTACATGTGCAATATCTCCTGTCTCCAGTAACCAAACGCTATCTTGTAAGCAGTTAAGCGACAAGTGACAATACTTTTCTAAGAGCAATGCTTAAAGTCAACTTTGGAAACATTGAGCCCCATAAAAATTAACCAAAAAAAAAAAAATTCCCAAAGTGGAGAGAGGGAATTCCACTGGTATGTATTAATTTGGTTATAGCTGATTAAAGAAAATAAAAAAAAAACAAACCCTGGTATTAAACAGGCAGTGACAATGGTACCAACTAAAGGACATAATGTAACATGATGGACCAAAAGGTAAATGACATAAAAGAAGCCATATTATGCATGACAAGAACAGGGACAGCCTGTACCACAAACTGTGTTTGTGAGCATGCTCAGTTAATAACACTGCTAAGCACCCTCAAGAGTCTCAAGTATGACAGCTTACCATGAAGAAGATAAACGCTTAAAGCAAAGGTTGGAACATTTTATTCAAGTGAACACAATTGAGGTGATGTAGCAAACTTAAAAAATTAAGAGCTTGAAGAGACTGTCTAGCTTAGGTTATTTTACAACTAAGTTAAACAGATTTGAAGCAAGTGTCAGACATCATTGGAAGATCAAGACACTTGCATATGCAAGAGTTAAGAGTCAAAAACATAAATCCTACAAAACTACTTTGCCTCAGAACAATCAGATTAGTAATCATAAAATGCAATCTGTGTATCCCTAGAAACAAGCCTGTAATACAAGCCAGAGTGCTCCATGCTTATTCTCACTATGGCAAAACCACACACAGCACTCCAATTTCTTATCTTTCTGTTTCTATTAAAGAAAAAATCATTCCTTACATAATCATTATTTCACAAAGCAAGTGATAACACAGGTTCATTCCACCTCGCAAGTTAGTTCTTCCAACAGGCAACGTTTTATTTATTTAAAGTTAGGGAAGAGAATATTCAGGTTTCAGTTTTTCCAGTTGGAAAAACTCCCAACAAGGCGAATCCACTGGCTGTGGGAAATGTTACCTGGCTTCAAGAAAAAGTGGACCATGAGATGACTCCATGAAGATGGAATCTTCTACACAGGTGACGGCGTGCACCTGGTGAGTAATACTGCCTTCGTCGTCTGCTAACAGCATGGCACCCCAATCAGCTACCCGGGCTCTTAACCTTTTACACACATGCACACAGTTTGCAGTTCACAAGCACAGCTCACAAAAGAAGGCAGCTGAAAACAACACCTCTCAGTTAAATATCCCACACATAAACTGAGCTGCCATCCTGTATGATGCATCTCATGCTTTCTATATTTAAGATAAATGTGTTCTATAGCAAACTGCCACACTTAAAAAAAAAAAATCTTTATGTAGTCTTTTAAAACACTCACATACTGGGCAAAGAAACCTAAGGTTTTTTACATTCTTTGTATGTCCCTGAGAGGCTGGTCTTCATATGTCCACAACACAAAGGGCAGCCCTTGAAACAAGTACCCCGAGCAGTACCTGACAAGATGTGGTGACCATTAAGTATACATTCAAAATGAAGCTAACAACTATGAGTCATGAAATTTATAGGTGCTTCTAATTTCAGACTACCAAAAACTACAAACATGTATCTGTGAAAAATTGAGTCCAACATCCCAAACTCATAGATGGTCATGGTCCTATGACAAGAGCATCAAAGTTTATAGCCCCAAGTCAGTAAGATGTATAGAATTTAAACTGAGAACACAGGCTAAACATACATTAGTGCTTTTGATTCAGCTTTGGCCTGTGATTTTCATGTATCTGTACAGACAGATAACTAAAAAATTTTTTTACATTTAGTTTTTAACTTTGGGGAAGAATTGGGTGGGAATTAAAGCTAGCTATAACCACATTAAAATCAGTCAAAGTGATCACAAAATCAGTCTGTTTCACACAGCTCCCTTTGTTGTATTTTAAGAAAGTATTGCCATCCATGAAATTGTATATTCTGACTTTATTGCTTAGTTTTCTTTTGAATTTCAAGATAGTAATTATTATTTTCCCCAAGCTACAGTACAGCCTTCAATAGGTTAAATCAGTTCATGTTTATGTATGAGAAACAATATAGATACATATTCAAAATATAGTTAGTTTGAAACTTAAAACTGTTAACTCATAAAATACATCCAATGACTCCATCAATGTTACAGCAGTTGTTTAAGACACTTTCAGATGTGGAAAACTACACTTTTAGATATGGAAAGTTACTTAGAGAACTACTTTATGCCTGTACCACGTGCACTTAAAAGCTGCAGTAACAAGGCTCTATTTGTACCACAGAACGCATTTATAATAGACAGCATATTTGTGATTGCTTAGCTGACAATACCTGAATAGAGAATAGTGCAACCTTCATTGTATTCCATTAAATATGTTTGTCATCTCAGGTCTCAAGCAGAAGCAGAGTAACAGCTTCATAAAGCTGCTTCCTAGTTTATTTCTAAATTCAAGCAAAAATAATTCTTCCAAAATGACTTGTATATCTTAGAATAAATCATAATCTTATTGCATACTTTCTCTGTCTTCCTAAAATTTATTTTTTGACTATTAAAAGGTAAATATGCTCATAACATATATGGAAAATAAAAGTAGGACGAAAAAAATCACCTCAGTCCCATCATCTAAGGCAACTAATTAAAATTTGGGTATTTACTTTTAGACTTTTTCTATGTATTTCTTACATATTTACAAACACAATGTGTACACTTTATACACTTTTATATCCTTTTAAAAACTTACTGTTATGTAAGGACATTTCTATAAATTATAGAAACATCATTTTAAATAGCGACATTATATTCCATTTTCCTACTGGTGGCTGTCTCCATTTACTGGAGACTATAATTAAAGTGATGAGTATCTTTCTACATAAGATTTTTCTCCATATTTAAGATAGTTTCCTTAAGAGAGACCTCCCCAAAATGAATATCAGAGTCAAAAATGTGTGTGTATATAAAGCTGCTTTTTCATAATCCATTGATCTATCAGGAACACATTTTTCTACTCTATGTGGAATAAGATAATTCAGCTCCATATCTCTTTTTAGAACATAAGAAATAATGATTAAATGCTGGAATATCACCTTAATTAATCATTTGAAGCTTGTCAGAGCTTCCAAGTTCTTATCTGGAAAACTGTGTGTCAGATGCTGGCTTTCTGTGTCTTGGAAGTGCTGAGGGCCCAAGTGTTGATCAGATGATAAGAGCTTCTTGACAGAGGTGTGGGAGCTGGCCGTTATGTTTGGATGGGGGTATGATTAAGGCTCCTACTTAATATGGCAGAGAGAGAGAAATGTTTCAGACTCAGGCAATAAATTAAGAATTGTTTGTGTGAATGACGATGCAAGGCATACAACAGAGTGGCCAAAGTTCCTACGTACCTTTTCAAAGAACGCCTTAAGGAAGGTGAATAAGATGCTTTTGATTAACTCTGCAATTTATATGTGAATATAAGGACATGAACTAAAATCTTTATTAATTCAATGTTTTAACCAATAATTAATAAAGGGAATGTTAGCAATTGCAATATTTAGAAACACACAATAATCAAATTCTAAAGGGCTCAGTGGAGCCCATTTTAGCTATTTCCAAATAGGGTTTTTTTTAATATTATTTTTTACAATGTCTCACAGGACTTAATATCTAGGGTGTAAAAATTATACTGCAGAGACCTAAAAGTTTGCAAAAATTAGAATTTGAGGAAGAGGGAGAATTTGGAAAGGTCCAGATGTCAGTTAACCTTGTCTGAGATGTCTGAAGTTGATTGCAGGCTACTGATGCAGAGAAAAGTTCAGCAGAACATATTCAAAAACAGGGAAGCTAAAGCTAGGACTATAGGAAGAGTTGTTCCATCAAGTCACTTGTATCAGCCCTATACAACTTTTCAGGGGTAAATTTGAAATTCCTCTTTCTCATTCTTCTCATCTCACCCTTTTATCCTTTCCAAACCCAACGCAGAGGTATATAAATGCACTAATACAAGTGGTCTTCTGATTTGGTAATCCTACCCACATGGTACCTCAGGTATGTATTTTTAAGTTAATACTCTGAAATAGCCTATACAACTGCAATGTATGTAACTTAAATTACTATGCTCATAGATGCCCATATATAGCTTTTTCCTATTTATAATTAAATTTCTCAAGCTGAAAATTGTACTGAGGTAACCAAAACTATAGCTAAGTTTTGCTTGCACATGTCTCACACTTTCTTTTGAAAGTCTTTTGGGTTTCCCTGCTTTTTATTCCTCCCAATGTTTCTGGTGAAGTATTTTTGAATATTTCTAATAATAATGCTAGTACTGCTAATAATCATTTTAATAATGACAATTCTCCTAACTGAACTAGGAGGCATGAAATACTTTAACACTTCTCAGAATAGGTTAAGAAACCAAAATAGGGTGTCCAATAAAGATGAATTCTGCAACACAAATCATAAGAAAGCTGTTAACTGAACAGGCCTAAATAGTAACATGTTTCAAAAAAGGATACAGGTGTGTGCCAATGTAAAGCAATGCCTCACTGAATATTAGAAGAATCACAATTTATAGATGATCATAGGCATATGGGAAATACAATGGACAACACATAATATCTCTATTT